TCTTACCTTGATTCAAATACTTTTTTTAATGGACCATTTTCACTCTTTTTGATGTAAAATTATAATCACAAGTATATAAAGAAATAAGACAAAGAAACCAAAACAACGATATTATCGTGCCAAGAAGCACGTCATCTGTTCTCATTGTGCCGGTCGATAGTACATGAGACAATGTTAAAAAGCACCTTATTGCAACATGACAGAATCAATAGGGAGTACATCAGATGATGGACATCCTTTTATATAATACCCCTTGTTTTCTCTTAGACACCGAATAATTTGTTCTCTAATATCTCCACTTACTTATTCTTCTTCCTTCTTTTTCTTCAAGTTATCTCTCTCTCTCTGAGTTATCTCTCTCTTCAAATTACTTCTCTCTCTGTTTCTATATATCTGGATGTCTCGGAGATTAAAACAGAGCAGTTGGAGTTAGTTCTAAAATAGTTACAGTCTAATCTAGACAGTAAGTTATTCTTATTAACCAAGCTATTTGACGAACGAGTAACGAAGCTAAGTCCGTCAAGGATACGTTATTATTATAACGTTTACACGTACAAGCTTGTTGTCTACGCTGCTTTGTCTACGTTATACATTGTGCATCTATATTCCTTCTCTTCAAATATATATTAACACTGCATTTTGTTACATTTGTTGTGCATCTCTTAACTCAAACTCATCTACATATACATATATGACTGGCGCTCATACATGTATGTATATGTAGATAAGTTTGAGTTAAGAGATGCACAACACATGTAATAAAATACAGTGTTAATATACCGAGTGGCCCAAAAGCAAGGAAAAATAAAATGTGTCCCATAATAACTGATGAAAAACTGTTGATGATATTTTTCATACTTTTTATTGATGTAGAGAGCTGAAATTTTTGTCACATATATATCTAATCAAAAATTTATATTTCTGAAAGTTTCAGCTCTCTACATCAATAAAAAGTATGAAAAATATCATCAACAATTTATTATCAGTTATTATGGGACATCCTTTATTTTTCCTTACTTTTTGGCCATCCGGTATATTTGAAGAGAAGAAATATGGATGCACAATGTATAACGTAGACAAAGCAGCGTATACAACAAGCTTGTACGTGTAAACGTTATAATAATAACGTATCCTTGACGGACTTAGCTTCGTTACTCGTTCGTCAACTAGCTTGGTTAATAAGAGTATGTTACTGTCTAGATTAGATTGTAACTATTTTAGAACTAACTCCAACTGCTCTGTTTTAGTCTCCGAGACATCCATATATATATAGAGACAGAGAGAGAAGTAATTCGAAGAGAGAGGCAATTCAGAGAAAGACAATTCAGAGAGAGATAATTCAGAGAGAGAGAGATAACTTGAAGAAAAAGAAGGAAGAAGAATAAGGAAGAAAGTGGTGATATTAGAGAACAAATTATTCGGTGCCCAAGAGAAAACAAGGGATATTATACAAAAGGACATCCATCGTCTGATGTACTCCATATTGATCCTGTCACGTTGCAGCAATGTGCTTTTTAGCATTGTCTTAGGTGCTGTCGACCGGGACAATGAGAACAGATGACATGCTTCTTGGCACAATCATATTAAATTGACACGGGTATTTGTAATTACAAAAAAAAGAAATATTTATAGATGAAGAAAAAGGAAAACTATGGCAATGTATACAAATATGCAGACAATTATTGGAATAGATAGAAAATCAAGCAGTTGGACTGGCTTCTTCTAATAAATTTGCTTGTTCAACTGCCATTTCGACAGGTTCAAAATGACCAGATTCTTGAATAATTAGTGGATTTGAATTTTCAACATTTAATAGTTTTTTTCCTTGGAGAGGTTCCTCTTCATCACTTGAAGATGGTGAAGATAATGGTGGAGTTGAAAGTAATGTTACTGATGAAATTATTTCAGGACTTAATGTTGCTTTTATTTCAGTAGATGTTTTATTATTTGACGGTAATTGATTTATAAATTCATATTGATCATCATCTGTATTTGTTGTTGTTGACTGACTTGAACGACAAGAAGATTGACTAATTATATCATTAGGGATTTTTGTTTGATTCATCATGATTAAAGTACTGCATCGGACTCTAATGGAGTCGGAGTCGGACCTGTAGGAACGAATATTTTTGGAGTCAAAAAGTTTGACTCCACATAGCTCTAATTATAATCGTTTAAGTTTAACGGTCATTTAGATTGACCAGGAACAAATCGAATTCACGTTTTTGAAAACATTTAAACCATGAATGCGTACAGCTTCTATATACTGACCACTGACGTCACATATATTTAGCACAGACTAACTAGAGTCCTTCAGGTTGATCTCGGATTCGGATCCGAAAATTTTGAACCCAGTAGGCTGCAACACTGGCACACTGGTACCATTGTTCACTAAAGCATGGGAACACACCGCTACAAAACGTGCATCTTTTCATAGAGTTCGTGTTTCCGTGTTGCAGCGAACATCGATATTAGCGTAATCAGTACCTAGTGAATCCTGCCTTGGTGCTTCATTGTTCAGTATTTGCACTAACTTTGCACATTCCTAATTTTAACCGTTCTCGAACATTTTTGATTTCTGTCAAACATATTCGTTAGTCACGTATCTTCTCATATTGCACGTTTGTTCGCACTAAAGTCTATACCGCAGTACTAGTGATGAGAGGAACCAATCTTTTTTGGTCCTGGTTTTGTGCTTAGTAGTACACGTACTAGTGAAAAATGCAATATGATTTTCTAGCAGTGTCAGTGAGCTCAAGATATCTTGCACTATCTACATGACCTCTAGTATTCTCTCTGTCTTGGAGATTCACTAATACTTCGTCTCTCCTGTACTTTTATATGTTCGACAACTCTATTGTTTACGAAGGATGGGTGTAGGTGTGAGCAGTAGGTCTGGTTGTCTGTGAGAACATTTTTCACACCCGCAGCCACACAACTAGACGCACGTCCGTACCCAGGCTTCCCGATTAGGGGGGAAAAGGGGGCCGTTTCTTCACTAAAAATTGAAAACATATCCGACTTTCTGCCAAGTTTGAAAAATTTCATGATAAATTCTAGCAGAAACTCTATTTTTTAAGCATTGTTCGCCATTTTTCTGGCAGAAAATCGAACAAAAATACTTTCTGTAAACGGGTGTTGGTGTGGGTATGATTAAAGAGATTGCATACCCACACCCACACCCACACCCACATTTGGTATTGATGTTAACTGAATTGGGTTCGTAAAACTGTTCGATCCAGAATATTTCAAGTATGTAAAATTCTGTTTCAAGCCATATGTAAAGTTGGTTTCAATATTGTTGATGTACGCTGATAGGATGGGATCACTGTTTAATGTGAATGTTTTGTAAGGAAAATATTGTCTTTGAACTTTCAAATTGGTATTAACTGTTAAATAATTGTAAATATAATCAAATGTGCGATTGAATCCATGTGTGTAAATATCACGAGTACCATTTGATTCATCAGCAAATTTTTGCATTTGTTGTAAATGATTCATCAAATCATCAATATGTATGGAACATACTAGCATACCATGGCTACATACCATGATTATACTTGATTCAGATCTTCGGATAATAAGACCTAGTGTAGAGGCGGATAGTACTATGGTAGCCAATGTGATTAAAGTGAGAAATCCCAGAAAAACATATATTTTCTTTGTTTTTGTTGAAACATTCAATCGTTTGTTATCAAAGATGTCGGATAGATCAGCATGACTATTTGACACTTTAGTTGTCGAGAACATTCTACTAAAATCTATCAATAAAATCACTTTCTATTTTGAATTGTCATGGTAATTCGAATCCTATAGTAAACTCTATACAGAGAATACAATGCGAATTGTTGATAAACATAAAAAAACGTGATTAACTTTATGACTTGATGGTCCAATGGTATTAATATGAAAAGAAAACTACAAAGTGACAAACTTCACAAAGATTTCTTTTCAGATACATTCAAGGAAGTTTTATCCCAGGTTCTATTATACCACATTTTCGGACAAAAGTCTTTCTCCTGCCCTTGTTTATAAGCTGTCATACTTCAACTAAAATTTACTGTCGATTAAAGATATGACATGAGAGGTGTATTGTAGTATGGTATAGATTACAATGAAATAAAACTTTCATGTCATATCTTTACTAGGTAATAAATTTAATTCAAAGTATTATAGTGAAGAACTATGAGAAAGAGGAAAGGATTTTGTTTGGGCGTAAATTTTAACATATAGTCTTAGGAATGTATAAATCTCTTTTCACAAAAATTAAACGTTTCAGTGTCTATCAAAAGACATTAGCTATATTGTGAATCGTGAAGAACAGTTGTCGCTTGGTCTTCATACATCTTTGAGTGTTTATGTGTGTTTCCTTCCGATTGATATTAGTCTACAGATTTCACTGATAAGTTGGAATTATAGTTTTGTCTTATCTTTAGATAGTCAAAAAGGTTCGATGGAGTTGCTATTGTTTGTATTTCTTCTATTTTTGGTGCCGATACATCATTCAGCAAGGACCATCGGACAATCTATTGTCATTAACACATGGCCGTTTATCAATGCAACGCGAGATGCATTTATGCAAATGATGTTGTCTAATGGTACGTCTTTAGATGCCGTCGAAACAGGCTGCCGAACATGCGAAGAAAAACAGTATGACGAAAGTGTTGGTTGGAGTGATCGTTCAAATGAAAATGGCGAAACGACATTGGATGCTCTCATTATGGACGGACGGACGATGAGTGTCGGTGCCGTAGTCGGGTAATTAGTAAAATTAATTACAAAGGTGAATGAGAGTAAGGACATGAGGGAAACCACAATGTGGTTATAAGAGAGTTCTATTGTAAAGTCCAAGATAGAATTGTTGGAAAGTCAAGTATCGATTTGCCCTCTATTTCAGTTTACATTGAATCAAAAATGCTATTGGCGTTGCTTGTGCTGTCATGCGTTATTCTCTTCATTCGTTGCTCGTCGGCGACAGTGCGACACGATACGGTATCGAGATGGATTTCAAGGAAGGAGATTTGCATAGTAATACATCTATTGATGACTGGAATCAGTGGAAACAAGGCAATTGTCAACCAAACGATCGAAAAAACGTACAGCCAGATCCGATAACAAACTGCTGGCCATATACACCTTTCTCGTCAGCTGAAATAGGTGATTCTACTCGGTATCATCGATTATCTCGGGACGAACATGACACTATCGGTATGATAGCTTTGGATCCAAAAGATGATATGGCAGTAGGTATGTCAACAAATGGACTGAGTTTCAAGATTCCTGGCCGTGTAAGCGATTCAGCCGTGATAGGAAGTGGCGCCTATGTTGATAATGAAGCGGATGGAGCATGTGCTACGGATAATGGTGACATTATGCAACGTTTCATCCCATCATATCATGTCGTTCAACTCATGCGACAAGGTGAGTCGCCCAGTGATGCTTGTATGGATGCTATCCGACGAATTGCTAAGTATTATCCAGATTTTGATGGTGCTGTATTCACACTTAGTAAGGATGGACGACATGGAACTACCTGTGATAATTACGATTCTTTTCCTTATGCAATCATGCAACAAGACTGGACAGAATCGAAAGTGATTGAAATTCCATGTGTCAGACGATCGCGTGGACAAAAACAAGTGCCTTTTTTCTTTCTTTTTGTATTACTATACATAAAGTGGTAGAAAAAAAAGTTCGGTGACAAGATTGTCTCTTTTATGAATTTTGCTATGTCTTTGATAAGAATGACCACTGTTTGATGTTGTGAGAGTGCTTCTAGTGATTATTTCTATCAATATTTCAGGAATCTTTAGATTCAATGGAAAAAACTTCTCTGGATAGATGGTTATTATTATTGCAAAAGAAAAGGAAATCTTTCTTTGTCAAAAAACTATTTTCAAGTTCACTTCGTTCTCGTTTGGATTTCGGTTTATAGAAGCAAATTTTTCTCGGGACTTTTGAATAAATTGAGTTTTCTACAAATATTAACGATAGCAACTATCGTGGTCAATATGTTACAAACAGCTAAAATTGTAAAAAATAATCCTTCACGAATAATTTGCACCATTTGTACGGTAAATGTCAGAACAATCGATGTAGACAGTTGCTGGACAAAAGTATTTGCCGCAATAATACTAGCTGCATGTTCTTGATATTTCACTGTAAAGTATGAAATAACACCAGGACGAGATGCTGCCTGACCAAATCCAGCGAATATTTGTCCAAGTATAGGAACTGAAACATGTATAGCATTTTGAAAAGTCCATCCATAAATACTCAAGCCAATACTTATCAATATGGAAAATAATAATCCAGGGATCATACGCCCTTCGAGAACTTTAGAGTTTTGAAAATATTTGATTGTTACTAAATCAGATAATTTTCCGCCGATGACACTACCGATCAAAAAAGCTGAGGCGATGGGAATGAATAGTATACCGATTGTGTCTGGTTGGAAGAAATACGGTGCTTCACCCAATTCAGTAGGTACAAGCAGAAGACTACAATTCACTGCTATATAACTGCAAGCTAGCACAATAATATACGGAATAATTGTGGAATCGATAAGATATAATAATGGTAAACATGGATTTGTTAATGTTGGTTTAGAAACTTGATCTAGTTCCAGCAAGATTATTTTTCGTTGAATCTGATATTTACATATCACTTTATAATGCTGAGTTTCAGGTACAATGAGCACATAGCTTATGAATAAAACAAATGCAATCATTGTAACCAAAGTAAATGTAGATCTCCATCCATGATACTGACATATCTGTCCACCAAGAGTGGGTCCCAAAAGACCAGCAGCAAAATAAAATGCGTAAAAAACTCCATATGGAGTTCCACGACTGTTCGATTGATATATATCAGCTATTGTTCCTTGTCCTATAACTACCGATACGGAGATAAAACATCCTTGTAATGTACGGAAGAATAACATTATGTAGATATTCGGGGAGAAGTAACATCCAATTGAAGACAGAATAAATGCAGCAAGGCCAAATATTGCTATCGGTTTACGTCCATAATAATCTGCGAATACACCCCAAATAAGACTGGAAATACTCATTGCAAACAAATATATACTAATTGTTAATAAACCTAATGTTTTTGTAGTTTCTAGATCTTTAACTATTTCTAATAATGCTGGAAGATAAACAACTTCGTCAAATGAAGCTAAAAAGCCGAAGCAACATATCAGAAATAGTATGATATTTTTTTTGTATTTATCATGTGTATCATAAATACTTAATGGTGTTGTTGTAATGGCTATACCTTGTTCTTGATCAGATATAGACTTCATTTCGCTGGAATTATCTATAGCAGTAATAATTTTTTTTTTCAAAACACTCGTATCGTGACAAGGAAAATAAAAGAAAAGGGAACCGACATTGACACAATGATCTTCACAAAAAAGTCGAATATTAAATGTTGTTTTACTTCTATCATGTATCGTGTCATGACAACATATTCTGCCAGAAATGAATTTTTACAGCAGATAAAAATGAAAACAAAAGAAGAGGGATGTCTGGATGAAAAACTTAGAATGATGTAGGATCTTGAGCCTGAAAATTTTTAAGCACTATTCTTCAATACAGTTCATTTTATTAAAGATTTAGATTTAAAATATACGTCCAATATCGATGTAAATGACTAATTCAATATTATAAAGTCTGATATGTAAAAAATAACAATATGAATCCATTTAATTAACCAGGATTACGCTCTCCTAATTTTTTTTGTAGAATACTGTGTGGGCCTATTTTACAAAAAAAACCGGTATACTACTTACTTATCTGCTTCAAGGGCAGTTTGTAATATGAGAATGCTCACGTTTTTTCTCTTACATGATTTTTTCGTTAGTTTAAGGCGTACACACATGCCTATTTCTCATCACTATCTCATTTATTGAAAGAGTAACGATACGAACAAAAAGAAAAGCATTACAAATCAAGAGTCTATAGTCCAACCAAATGTTCTAAGCCTACCTAATGCCTTTCTATTTTACTGATATCGTTTTTAATAAAGAATTAGTGCTCAACATGTATTTCGATATTGAAAGCAGCAACCGTTCTGGATCAGCTATTAAGGCGAACGGATAGATGGGTCAGAACATAGGCATCACCGTTCCCGATCATCTGGAAGAACTCATGCTCCAGGTTGAGAAGAACGGTTAGAAACGCTCATTCTTATTCATCTGTAGAGTGTATCAATCGATTTTTGACTTGGGATCCGAGAAATAATGAAAGAAAAAGCACATTTTATCGCAGCTATTTGATTTCACGCGAAACTGTATCGTAGATTTGATACATAATAAAGAACGTAATACGATAGAAGGAAGTTGAATGCAAAAAGAGAAGTTATTTTTGAACTAATTCAAGTAATTATCTATTGTCGATAAGACTTATGCATCATCTTCCAATCGTTTTAGAATAGTATCGTAAAACTCATGGGAATACGATTCTCGTTCAGCAGCGTACTTCTGAGCCTGTGCCACACTCTATAACTAAAACATAGGATCTGTTGGTTTTGTCGATGGCATGATATTCAATGGTTCTGATTGCTGACAGATATGCTGGAAAAGATGGTTTCTCTGAGGAAAACGGATCAACGCTTCTCTTTTATGTTACAATTAACCTCAATTAAATAACACTCCCACTTTTTTCTATTGATTGGTGGAGATATGATAGATCACGTTCCTTTTCTTCGATCAGATTCATTTTATGTTCCAGACAAAGTTCTCGACGGGATGCCCTAGGGAACTATTTGGTGATGAGCTCAGAAAGACTATAATGGCCAATTTTTCACCACCTAGACAGTTCAATCAACACGATGAGTTTATAAGAAAATATTCCAAGCAATACTTACGACGATCGTTTCATCCTTGCTTAAGGGATCCGTCAGGTAAGACTGGAATTTTTGAATTGACTGCATGGAATTTATCGTGTAGTTTGCATGAAAGTATTTTAATCTAGAGTGGAAGGTTTTATTATACAATGAAAGAAGGAAAATAATGGGTTATGCGAAAAAATCAGTTGAGAAAGAAAAAAGTGGAAAATTTCAAATGGAAGTCTTTTTTGTTTTTTTTTGAACAAGGGTACTATAACAATTTGAGTATCAGTTGTATAGATAATGAGGATTTGTTTTGCTTTTATTTCCTTGACTGAAGGAAGGATGATACAGAAAAACGAAAAAAGCGGGTGTGAGTATGGGTAGGTGTGGATGTGGGCGCCGATGTACTATTACTTTCTCTTAGATCCACACCCACACCCTGAATCTGACTATTTTGAGGAAACAAACAGCATGGATATATAGAATGATATGTGAAAAGTTATTCAAACAGTATCCATTCGCCTTTTATTTTGCGATGAGCACACAATGTATTTTTATGTTATTGCACAACTTAATGCTAATATTTCAAATAGTAATGATGAAATAACATATTCCTTATCAACATACTTATTAAAATATATTCATATGTTATTTCACAATTATATGTTAATATTTCAACACTATAGTAGTGTTTTTTCGTTTAATATATGCTTGAAAATTTTTTCTCGGCGTTGTTTTGCGTATTTAAGAAAATCATTTAAATCTATGGATTGGTTAAATAAATATGAAAGTGCTACTGAATTATATAACGATACAATACATTATTGGTCAACCCAGAAATATCCACCTGGAAAATGGATTTTAACATCATTTGATGAAGAATCAATTATAGTCTATCAAGCATACAATCAAGATATAGCACAATTTGCCTGTGAAAATGGTTGTTTTACAGGATGCCCTGATTATAATCAGAATCGTATGACATGTATGATATGAAATCTAATAAGAGGGTGTGGGTGTGGATGTGTGCATGAGTGTCACAGTCGTTAATACACTCACAGCCACAGCCACAGTCATAGCCACACCCACACAGCCACAGCCACATACCCACACCCACATACCCACACCCACATACCCACACCCACACGCACATTCCACACCCACACCCTTTTGTCCTGTAATGTTGAATTAGTCGTTATTCGAATATTACAGTTTTTATTCTCTCGTTTCCATATTTGGTAGTGAGAGAAGCAAGTGCACCGGGACTCCTCGTGGGCATGAGATGAAATAGAAAAAATGGTCTCATGGAACGTCATATTCGTGAAATACTTTTTGAAAAAATGAAACTCAATGGTACATTTATCGGTTTAAATAATTATACAAAATATTCCAACGGTGGAAAAAATCTGAAAGTAGTGGTAGAAGTACTTTATTTTCGTATAGAAAGCTTGAGTAAACTTTCTCTTTATATGTAACCATAACAAAAACAATGCTCTATTTTTCTGTGATATTTGATCCCTCTTTAACTAATATCATAAAAATAAAATTTCGATAACGGCTATTGGTTAGGATTGTGACCATAAAATTAGATCATATTGTCTTCGATGTGTATTCTCTATTTGCTTTTGTTTTTGTGGATGTTGGTATGCTCTTCTCTGACACCCACGCCACACATACTGCTACCATGCATAACTATTTACAGAATAGAACAAACTTTTATTTTCACTAACTCTATTTCGATAGACAAGAACGCAATCTATACGACGAAATAGTTACATCTTTCCTTATAAGAAATGTTTATATAAGTGGTTGTTTGTCTCATGTGACCAATAGGATGAAATGAGACGTAAATATTTTAATAAATGTCTCATGAGATGGGACGGGACAGAAATTGCGGAAAATTATCCCATCCCATGGGACATTTATCAAAATATTTACGTTCTGTCTTGTCCCGTGGGATGAGATGGGAACTTCTCATATTGTCTCATGAGATGGGAATTGCTCATCCTCTGTGAAGCTCTGACATGTATAAATATCATTCGCACGCCATAGACACAGATACACACAGTCGCACATATTTATATCAAAATTATTGTAACACTGTTAACAGAGGTATGTTTGAGTTGTATTTCTTTCTTGTGTCCGTTATAATCGACATTCATCATATTAGAATAAATGAAAAAAAACGATAAAGAACATTAGATAATTTCGATACTTCAATATCAATATCTATCAGTCCCTTTTATCCTAACTAAAAATTTACCAGATCCAAACCGTTTGGGAGTTGGGTTTCGGTTTCGGTTTGCAACCTAAACTCAATAAACCATTTAAGTTTGGATATAACTGCGTCTCTCTCACGCCGCTTCTGTATATTCAAAATATTGCTTTTATGTACATATTAGCAAAAACCGTATTTCTATAGTTTACATTGTCAAGTGCTAAAGTCAAATTATTTGATACATATAAGTACTCGCCTAGTACCACATCTTCTTCTCGTATTCACTTTTTCGAGATGTTTTTCTAGGCTTTTGTTGTAAACCGTGATAGTTGCTTGGATGTCAAATTGATGATGTTTATATTAAGATGTCTCCTTAAAGCTATCTTGCGTGTGGGTGTGGGTGGTGTGTGCGTTAAAGCAGAACACCTACACGCACACCCGCACCCACACCCACACCCGCACCCACACACACCCACACCCACACCCACACCCACACCGACGCCCACACCGACACCCACACCCACACCCACACCCACACCCACACCCCACACCCACACTCACTCTTTTAAAAACATTGTATATTTCCAGGTATCAATAAGGAAAAATGTTGAAGAAACAATTACTCTTATTTTTGACCATTTGGACGACAATGATTCCTGGACAATCAGATGCAGTATGTTGTCAACAGCGAACAAGAAAAGTCTGGCTAGTTGAGATTCCTTGGGGTTGTATGGGTTGTGGTCCCTGTGACATAGGATGCTGCAATTGTGAGATTGGTTGCTGCCCTGATAGACGAAAGCGTTCTGATACATCTATTGAGAATGATTGGTCGGCAAACTCCATCCGATTTTTTGTTGCGGCTGATCACAACCACGATAGATTGATTGATTTCGATGAGTTCGCCAAGTATCTGATTAACCATGGATCTGAAACTCCACATTTGACATTCGAAGTTCATTTCAACAAGACAGATCTCAACAACGATGGATTTATTCAACTAGATGAATTTACCAAACAAATCAAACTAGTCTAATCACTTATCGACGTACTATTCTAAAGATTTGCATGATCATCATCTTCGATACTCTAAAACTCCTTATGTTTCTAAAAACATTTTCTGTAACATGTCTGTTGTTCCCTTGAAAACATGCTGGAAAAGAATTATGATTCTCGTGTGTAATTAAAATTAAAAATTTGATTTCAATTATGCGGACAAAGACAACACATAAGAATGAATGAGAATTCTTAATCAAGATCGGTGCTAGTTTTATGGAAGTATATCAATGCTTTTAGCAAAGAGCTCGCTATCATCTAATTTTGAAACAGACGGAAGATCAATCCTGTTTGCATTTCAAATTTCTTATCCATACTTTTGATTTCAAACAATGTTTTCAATCTATTTTGATTGTTGTAAGAAATATCATATTACCACAGAATTTATGAGCACGTGAAGAAACTCGATTTAATGATTGCAATTAAAATATTCTATTTGTGTTTCATCAATCGTTTCGTCTTGTAAAATACGAATATCGCCAAATGTAAAAAATACGAAATTATAGCTGCAGAATAGATCTTAAAAAGACAATAAATGAAATTTTCTTTGATTCGATGCTTAGTATATAATTCGTTTAATCTGATTAATTACGAGATGGGCGAAGAGAGAGACATGAAGATTTCAAATAGAATTTCAACTTAAAGAAAAATAATATATAAATATCCAAGTTAAGCGAAAGATCATAGAAGCTGATAAAATCTTAGACATATAAAGGAAATGAAAAGAAGCAGGGTATCTTTATAGTATGTCTTATTTTTTTTAATAATCGTTAGAAAATGGTGGTCATTTTGATTGGAAGCCAGCATGGCATTGAAACGACTGTTTTCTTTTGGGTGAATTGCGCTACAATATACCATTTGCCTCAAAAAATCGAAAAAAAAGTGAATATAAAGACCATTTGAGCGGGTGTGGGTGTGGGTGGGTGTGGCTGTGGCTGTGGCTGTGTGGTTGTGGGTGTGGATGTGGGTGTGGGTGGGGGTGGGGGTGGAGGTGTGGATGTGGGTGGAATAAATACGACACCCACACCCACACCCACACCCACCCCCACACCCCCACACCCACCCCCCCCCCCCCCCCCCCCCCCCCCCCCCCCCCCCCCCCCCCACACACACATTCACCCTTGCGGAAAAAAGTATTTCTTAATAAGACTTCACCTTCGATTCGGTATCGTCTATAGAATCAATGAAAATTTTATTCATGTGCATAAATTGTGTATTTATTCAATTCTTTTTTTGCGCGCTCTTTATACACTTTAAGTAACTAATGAGTCGAAAATTTTTGGACAAAAGATTTGTCCATTGTTGACTGGCTCGAAATTATCCCCGATGCGTTAAAATCGGTGCGTTCGAGGATGTGGATGTGGGTGTGGGTGTTAGTAAACAATAAACAATTACACCCACACCTACCTTTAAGTAAACCGAATTGAAATAAGTCATAAAATCTGACATCAAAAAGGTTGAATTTTCATTTAAAAACATAAGTTGAAAATTGTATTTTCTTCTGTTTTCGAGTAAAGTCTCTTGTGTATGATGTAGTATTTTTTGTCATATCAGTTCTTTATATGAACTTCCAATGATTTTCATTCAATAATGTGAACAATGTTACTTTTCGTATCAACGAATTCATCGATATTTCATTCAAATAATGATAATTATCAGTGTCAAATAAGGCTGTGATGTGTTCAAAATGAAAACAGCATTATTGATTCTTAGATTCTTTTTTATCTTAGATATTAGTAGGATCAACAGAATATTTTTATTTTGCATAAAATTTACTAGTTTCACTCTCTTATATCATTTCTTAATGGGAATATAGCAAAAACTATGGATTATAGATGATTTATTGAACATTGAATAATTATAATCTTCTTTCATTTATTGATCTCATAAGAATTTCTTATATAAAAAATAAATATATCAACTTCTTTTGTAAAAATTCTTCCACTTTTTTAACAATGATTCACGTATGTATATCAGAGGATGAACATGGCATTAACAGTGGTAAATAGACACCAACAACAACACTACGTGCTTTGAATGGAACTTGTCGGCCTATTTTTGTATCATATAAATCGGTAAAAGGTACTCTACTTTCTGAAACATTCAGAAAATCATAGAGTGGATTAACAAGAGCTTGAAAATCTTCTTTTGTTTCAGCAAGACAAGTAGTCCATACGGTCCAATCGACTTTTGCGTAAACTACTCGATTATCTAATGGTAGACCAAATAAATTTTGATGTTTTACATAATACTTAATCTCTTTTTGCGCCACACTAGCTGGAGATAGATTCAAGCCAAAAAATCGTTCCCATACAAGATTGTATTTTTGACTCCAACTATCTTTTCTATCAAATGCAAGTCAATAGTGATCACCATCGTCGGCTAATTTCAGCCATTCGGATGCCATTGTCTGTGCAATTTTATTAAAAATTTGTGCTTGTATTTTATTTGCTTTCAATTCACAAAGTTGCGCAAAAGCTGAGACTGCTAGAATGGCTTTTAGGGAGAGATTAGCATTATGCGCAATATGTCCAGTGAAGGCATCCGTGCAATGTTGATTTTTTGGATTTAAACCAAAATCTAATAGATAGTTTACTCATTTCAGTAGCGTCGTAAAATATTGATCAGCTAAATCTGTTTTATTTTCTATTTTACAAATGGCAACAGTGAGAATAATCATGTTGCCATATTCTTCAACAGGCATTTGATTTTCTTCGGAATCTTCCGCTCCTCCGTATACTTGTCCATTTTCTTGTGGATAAGCTCCAAGATCATGAGGAGCAAAAGGAAGTTTCCAATGTGTACTTTCAGTATATATAAAAACAGGTGCAAGTTGAGCTTTGAGCAGATCTGGATTAAAATAAAGAAAAAATGGAGCACCTGGATAAGTTACATCGACTGTTCCCATACATCCGTTGCTACTGTTCTCTTTATTGAACATGAGTAATGTACCATCAACATCTTGTACAAAAAAATGAGCCGATAAACATTGACGAAAAGCTAGTTCAGCTACTTTTGAATATTTGGCTCCACCACGATCAGCCCATGGAGTAAAATATTGAAGGAAACGGACTGCGTAACGCGTTTCCGAGATTGTAGCATGCGTTTCGCAACGTTTTTGCAATATTGGACGCGTTTCGCAGCATTCTTACTTACATAGAATGCGTTTTGCCACAGTCGTTTTTTGAAACGATCCGAAACGCTTTTTTCAAGATTGCGTTTCGAGGCGTTTCCGAATTAAAATGCTGTCGAACGCACTTTGGTTGACTGGCGACGCGTTGGACAGATACAAATTGGGGGGAAACGTAAAACGCGTTTCTTTTTCAAATGTGTGTTGCATTGTTTTTGCTTGGAATGATGCAAAATATATGCATTCTGCGTACAGAATCTTGCAGAAACTCACCAACACAAAGCATATGAGTTCAGCAAAGTAAATTCTTTAAAATTACTTTGGAAATGATATGAAATAGCACTTGAAAGTTTTGCTCCTGGCACTATTTTTGTACGTGAAAATCATGACCCAGGATTTTATGAAGGCAAGACTAAAATCAAAGTCTTCGAAATTTTTAGGCTGCTAGGCTGTTATCTAGACCTAATTCGAAGTTAGACTAATGTAAAACATCAAAGTGTAACAAAAAATATATTCTTCTTACTTAAAAACTCATTTCACCACGTTTTTATTGAAAGAAAACGTGTTTCGTAAGGTTTACTTAAGAATTGTTTTAAATATTGAGCATTTCGAAAAGATTTAGTAAAGACTGATACTAATATAAGTAGTATAGCAACTCTCTTTGGTTATTTGTGAACAAAAGAATCATCGCGTTATCTGTAATTTGAATAATTATTAGTTTGAGTTCATACTCGAACTAGTTGATAATAACTAATGATACTGTGTACAATACTAGTAAACATGATTTTAGTTTGTACATTGTTGAAGTAAGAGTGACTTTTTAATAAAAGAGATTCGATTTACAAAAGAAAACTCCTTTCATTTATTGATGTAATTGCATAAAACGATGACCGATTTACATTCACAAAAATCTATTAATCAAGAAAATAAATAAAAGATTAAATTTTAAATTTTTTAAAATTTATATATAAAAAATTTAATTTTTTATATATTAAATACAGTGTAAATCGATTAAATTCGTTTCTATTGTGTATCTAAATTTAAATCTGAAAGAGTTTAAATAAAAAATGTATCAAGAAAAGACCATACTCGTAATTGAACATAGGCACCAAAGAAATGATAATTTTTAATTCAGTGGAATGGAAACTGAAAATCTAATTTAGTAAGTTTACGGGGGACTCTAAATGACAGTAGAATAAACACATATATCATTAGATTATTTTAGTTGAACGGTTTGTATACATGTCTCATACCCCTATGTTCTCGTGTTCGAATCCGTGTCTTGACTGCATCAAAATTCATGTAAGTTATAGTTCTAAAGGCCAATGAAAAAATGTAAACGAATACATAAATTGTACCTGCAATTTAAGATCTATGAAATCATTGACGATTTTCAATTTTTTTTCCATCTAGAATTTACGACACCGCAGTTTGAGAAACGCTGCGAAATTTTTCACAAAAACAATCGTTACAGAGCGTTTGTTTTAGCAGATGTGAAACGCGTCAAACCGGTCAGCATTAATGCGTTTCGCAGCTATGGAAAAACGCGTTTTCAGAACGCGTTTTTTTCGCAGAAATTTACACCATGGGAGTCACTTCTTTGCGAAGTTTTTCATTGGATTCGTAGCATTTCTTCCGCACTAAAACATACTCCATCTCTGCTTTTATTAAAAGTTCATCTATTTAAATTTCGCTGCGCTTCCATCCAGTAAGGTTTTAATTTCCGATGTAAATACTCGACCGAATACAGTTCATCATAGGCAAGCAATATGTGACGAGAAACTGGATGACTATCAACTTTGTCGAAGGATAAAATTGTTGACAGACCAGACCAATCTTCATTGACAGCTCGTGGAAACTTCATATCGTTAGAATTTGGTAATTTACCACAATGAGAAAACGTAAGTCAACTCAATCCGGTTGAACCTATGAAAGTTTGATTGTCTTGCACCAGGTATTGCTAAATATTGAATTCACCAATCGATTCGAACATTATCACCTTTTCTCGCAAGTATGGCCTGTTCATCAGACTGAAATGAGAGTACTTCCATGTCTTTGATATGTTGTTGTGTTGCAATGACTTTTTGATCAGTTTTATTGACTACTAACTCTGCTGTATTGACGAAATAAGTTTCTACAGAATGTTCTTGTTCATCAGTAGCTTGAATTGTGAATGTTACGTAGGTAACAGATCGAGTTAGAAGATCAAGATCTTTAGGCAGAAGTGAAGAAAGAAATTCTACATTCAAAATCATGCCATATCCTTCAAAAACAAATACGTTTATTGTGGCTGCTACTGTGACACATTTTTGTGTGAAGGCTGGATTGCAGTCGGCTCTATGCCCATAAAACGCAACGTAAGTCCACCGATTCGTATCAAACCACACATGGCTTGGACATGCCCCGTCCAATGAGTGCTCCATGTGTCAGTCAAGTGATTGACCGTACGCCAAATACTAAAGTAAGGCGTGTGAGTGACTAAAGGAAGAGCAGGTGGTCGAAAATGTTCGACCGACATGTTACGAAATGTATTGTAATTTAGAAGGATACAGTAAATACTGGAATAATAATTCTTTTTTGTTGGTTTATGACATAAACTTCGTATGAATATATGTCGGTTAGTTGTTTTTGCGTTCTGTTGACTTGGTTGCTAAAAATGTTGGAAAAAAATAAGAAGAATCAGATGATGTTGGTTTTGTTTTTCAGTATTCTTTTCAATTATTGGTCGACAAGCATGCTTTATAGGTAGTGTCAGATGGCGCACCGTTACGTATCATGCGAGAAACATATATAGGCAATGCTCTTATCTATGATGATGTGGGTGTCGATGTCGGTCATCTCTACTCATTTACACCCACATATTTCCTTTGTACCAGGATCTGTAATAGGATCTAATTTGTAGATAGTCACTATTTTCTGTTCAATCTCTGACCTTCTACAGTTTTTTATTATTTGTCTTTTCCTCAAGTAATTTATATTTTATCTTGATCATCAGGACTGCCTAGGTCATCATTTTAAATGTTTCTATTTCATTCATACTTATAAAGAAAAACGGTACCGAAAAATGTGTGGTTCTCTGCAGTTATTGATATTTCCGTGTAATTCATATCTAAGTAAAGATTTTATTAAAATTGAAACATGATTCTTTTTAACTAGCTTTCAAAGAGAAAAACGTTTTTTTTTTTGAAACACAAAACTTAGACAGTGTGCTTGTGGACCGAGCAGATTAATGATATGAGTGCCGATTGTGAGGATGTGTTGACTTTCTCAAGATCCATACACTCGTTCGCATCTCTAATCAGACTCACACATACACCTAAATATGTTCGGTGATAGTTCAAGTGCTGTTGCGCTCAAAGGTTTTCTGAATAAATCTTTATGCCCACTGCGAAAATATCATAATTCAAGCCGTCCCTAATCTGCTCTCAACCAGAAAAAGAAATCTTCTAAGAAAAATCGAGGTCCTTTCTCAGCAGATCAAAACTTGTATGACTTCACATTCAAAGATGATTTGAAGGTATAGATTTAGTTGTTTATTTCTATTCAACTAAACGAGACATCCTAATGACTCATGTTATTATATTTACGCAGAATTTTTTTAAACACGTCATGTATTTCTCTTATTTATTGCTGTATTTTGTAATAGTTGCGATTCATTACGCAATTCTGATGAATCATATAAATAGGGAGAAAATATTGAGTTGCATCGTAGTTTGTAAAAGAAAGCAACATAAAAGTAAGTAAAGTATCAATCTTTGCAATTTACTTATTTTAGCTTTACACCGAGTTTTTTAATTGTTATTTCAGGACAGCGATTGGAAAACTATTGCTTTTTTTCCGTTAGATAGTTTCAGACAATGAAGGCGAGTTATGAATGTCAATCTCGTTTACAGCTTCAATTCCAAAGAGAGAAAAGTTAAACAATGTAATAAAAAAACGACTTTCGACATTACACCCTAGATCAGAATAATTTCACAAGAATAGAATTGATTGATTTCTATAAAATTTTGGATATAGGAAAGATGCACACAGATCAAGATAACATCGTTCAAAATAACAGGAGCGATGTCAATCGCACCGACACCTTTCTCAAATAGAGCACACTCAGAACTATTCCGTAGTGTACAGAAAAACTGAAGATGTCTATAGATGTTGACCTTACCCTAGGAATATGATTAAATGTGTATTTTTCCATATTATAGATTGAATAGAAACCACAACGAAAAAAAAAACAATGAGCACTGAAACAATGGCTTCGGTTAATATTTGTTGTATTCCGGATAATCCATATGCAGTTATTGGTGTAACAAATACAAAGAGAGCTAGAATTGAAATCGAAACAAAGAAAATCGAAGACACTGTTGATACAATCAGACGAAATCCAATCAATATGGTTTTGGTACTTGATCGTAGTGGTTCAATGTCATCGAACAATAAATTGGAATTTGCGAAGAAAGCTGTTATTGCTGTACTCAATTTATTGCATGATGATGATGTTGTACACCTTGTTGCTTATGATACAAATGTTTGGACGGTGTTTGAAAATTCACCGGCATCAGGTCGTGAAGTTCTTTATTCAGTTGTTGAAGGAATAACTACTGGTGGTGAAACTTTCTTATCTGGTGGTATCGAAACAGGTGCCAATCTTCTTGAAAAATATCCACATCCCGGATTTTCCAAGCGTATGTTTGTTTTATCCGATGGATTAGCGAATGTTGGATTAAAAACCAAAGAAGAAATCACAAAGGCTGTTGCAAAATATAGCAAAAAAGGAATTA